CGAAGTTAGCTCGTGGTCACACCATTCCCGTCTAACTCGAGTAGGCCCCAAATCATTCAACAGAGATCGTTGATGATCTACAAGTCTTACAGGTCGAGGTTGTTCTCAAAATAAAAGATATGACAACATTTGCATGCTCTCCCTTTATGAAACTTGGGCCTGGAAGATCGTTCTTTTATATCTTTGAAAATTATTATATTAAGTGTACAAACGCTTGCGTTCCGGCACTGAGTTGTAGAAGTAAACTCACATCAATGTTAACAGTAGGTTACAGAAGTCACATAATTTTGGTCTTTTATAACAAATATTTAGGAAAAGATATCACTTGAAATTATTTTGTTCATTGTTTCATGGCTTTGATTTTCAGTGTTTTACTTCATTAACAGATGGAAATGGAGTAACTGCAGCTGTTTGCTATCTGTACATCAGGAAATATTTGGTTCACACTTTAGTATGTCTACATCTGAACACGTTTCTCCCATAACCTGGCATCCATTGGGGAACCGTAGAATGGATTGTTTGTACCAACTTGAGATTCAGACGCATACACCTATTGACCGGAGTGGGATTGAACTCAAGATCTTCTGATATCAAAGTGAACTTAACGCCACCCACCTACTAAATTAAAATTCGACATCCACAATTTTTAGATCAGATCGGTTGGAGACTAATCGGAAACTTTATAATATTATGTTAGTAAGAAGTTCATCCAGGTACTGGTGTGTACATGATTATTACACATTCAAATCAACTGGATGACTTCAGTAAACCGAATTCTCCTATTTACACATTTTAAAAGACAACCTAAGTAAAGAAATATTCTTCTTTGACTAGTTCATCATAATATCTGCAACCTCAAGATACTCGCAACCTACTAGTATTTGACCACAGATGCCTTAGAAATATTGCTCGCATCTGCTGGGATCACCAGGTAAGTAATGTTGAGGTTAGACATAGGGTATTAGGTAATGATGGCAAATCAGTTGATGAGGTTGTGAATCTTCATTGGCTGAGATGGTTGGGTCATGTGTTACGTATGTCTGAACTCTGATTGCCACGACGAGCAATACTGACTAATGTTGGAGACAGTTGGAGGAATGTTAGGGGCAGCCAAACCAAAACTTGGCATCAGCACTTGAAGTCACTAACTTCTTGTCTGAGCCATGCTGGTAGATGAAGACTATTTGTTTGTGGTCTGTGTGACTATGGTAACCAGTGGTTGGAGACTCTGGGTGACATGGCTCAGAATCGATCACAATGGCGTCGGTGTATACACTCTCCATCCTCCCTTAAACTAAGAGATTAAAAACGTTTCATATCTTTCTTTCTGTCAACTAATTCTTTCTTCCTGTACTATATCCTTATGCGCAATCTTTCTTTTATATATTACCATCAGTGAATTAATTACTTCTATGAATCCGGTTTTCTACTTCTTGTGCTAATGAGGTGTGGCAACTTGGAGTGATGCATATATGTGCCTGGTTCTACGTTGTAGCTGACTGATTGATAACAATGAGGGTTATTAAGGAGAATTAATTTGGCTTCTGTTGTTTAGAAAAAACCACATCCGGATTGTTTAGTATTTGATACAGTTCTTTATTTTTGTGTCCTCTGTTGAGTAAATGGCCAAGATTAACGGCATTTATTGTCCTAATTTCTTCACCTCTGTATGTAATTTATGGTTTGTCTAACTACACTTATCCATTGAATACTTGTCCAACTTCCTAATAAAAAGGCGAAATCACATCTCATGAAAAAATAGAGGAGCAGTTAGTCAACCAGATAAGCGATATCCATCTCGAGGTAACTTGATATATCTACAAAACGCTGACATCTGTGAGTAACGCAAATCTAAAACTTAGAAACACCAGTGGATTTCTACAGATAGATACTCAGAAATCTATCTCATCTGGCTCTGAACAAGATGAAGAGCTGACGGAGCTTAATCATACGCTGATAAGAAGCCTGCACAACGATCGTGAACAATGTTGGGTAGCGAATACATATGTGGAGAAGACAACGGCTATAAGTAACAGTAGTAAACCGTTCAGACCTACCAAGGAAATGTGTGTTGGGAATCCAGATGCTAGTGGAACTATCTCGAAAGAGCCGGGACTGTTATCGGCTCTCGATCTAGTAGATTGAACCGATAAGCAGGACAGTTTATGGAACAGTTCAAATGACCTTGAGCCACACTTCAGTTACTCACTATCTCCAAGCAATCTGAATGGGAAACTGATTTAGTTCTTTCAACTCTTAGTGAAGTTGAAAAGGACATAAGCAGCCTAAAGCGATAGGACCTGATGAATTAACCCCTGAGATTTTAAAAGACGTGGTCCAGTTTTAGCAGTTAAATTAGCTGGGATCTTAGCTGAAGTGTAGAAACTGGACGTCAACCCCCATGACTGGTCTCTATCTCTGATCGTCCCTGTTTATAAGAAAGAATAGAAACCCTCTTGTGATAGCCACGGGAGAATCAGTTTAACTGATGTAGTGTCTAACATATTAGCCTTAATAGTACTTCAGTGCCTAACTAGGGTTCGTGAAGAGCAAACCCGAGGAAAACAGACTGGTTTAGATGTGAATGTGGATGTAAAGACCAAATATTCACCCCCAGTAGGTTCTGGAAGATAGATATAATTTTGGACGTCCAACTGCTATTGTATTCCTTGACCTTAAGGTAGCGTCCGACTCCGTTGATCATAGGATTCTGTTGAAATGTCTGTCATTGAATGACGTTTCAAAGAGTTACATTAACTGAGGTGACTGGAATATGTGTTAAAAATGTTGAAAATGTACCAAAATGCTTTGTCTAACAATTAAGCTAACGGAAAAATGCACCATGATATTCAGTATGTTTACATGAAAACATGTGACACACCTTTGATCCTAGAGTCTGTTTGGATCTCTACTGCTCTAGGATGATGTGAAACCTTTCAAAAAGTACCAACAAAGCGTGTGTTCGTTCTCCTTGACTGACGACTAAACGGCAGTGATCGAACATGAATAATCCAGAACAATGAAACTCAAAAAAGGCCGGATGTAGAATGAATTGCAGTATCACTAACTCTTTTCTTGGCAAAAACAAAATAGCTCGTAGTTATCTTTCTGTCGAATATGTAGTCGAATGCTTTGTTTACTGTATGGAACAAATACTGGAAGATATGTTATTGAACCATATCGTCCAGAAAAGTTAGTGTGTACACTACTATTATGATTTCCGCTGTCTCCAACAGTGTCCTATTACATATGTGAAACAAGGATCAGATAGATGCTCGTTTCGGGTGTTTAAGTACTGCAAACGTCTTCGTCCCAGTGATATCATTTGACTTATTCTTGAATGTCCTGCGTACATATATTGAAATACTACTGACCGTAACCTTTCTAGGACAACATCACATTCAAAAAATAGGAGGGGAATCAGCGACCAAAATGGATAGCCTGGCTGCTGAAATGGATGTTGCCATTAAAATTTGATCAGCGAAGACCACCCATTCTACGTGAGACTGGGTTTTAAGCAGTTGGTTCTCTTTCGTCACCTTATTCATACGGAATGCCTTCGACGATGTTTGTTAATTTAGAACTGGTTTCTAAACCAACCGTAATAACGAAAATTACCTTCCACTTCAGTCCAGCATGATGAACTCCAATTAACCTAGAAAGCGTCTGTTTAATCGGTAGTGGGTTTGATTGGTAGTAGAATTATCCTCAACGTAGTAGTCTGATACCCATATTGACAGATGATGCACGGGATCTCACTAATTCAACTCCACGACAGGACAGACCAGACGCTACAATAATTTTCGAGCATTTACAGAGGTGTGTTGAAAGAAAATTGCAGTTAGACATTGAGTTGACTTCACCAGAACACACTTGATGTACTTCTGAACACTCTTGTGATTTACCTTCAGTTAGTCGTCAAAAGTAAAGGGGATATCGCCCACTGCACTTTGGTGAGGAACGTACTTCAGCGGCCAACTTTTCTTATAAAAGATCTTTCTGGGTAAATGTCAGGATCATAGGGGTAGCTTCCATGTCATTTGAATCTGGAGCCATCCGTCCTTGTCCAAGAGGAAACCGAACTACTTACTAGAAGACTCGAAAAGACTCAAATTTTTCAATGCAGTTAGAGTCTCTACTCGTCAGTCGATCAAGAGCATAGTCCTTGAGGCAAGAAAGTTCATTTTCAACTGACCACTTGAAAATCATATCATCCACGTAAGCTTCTAGTTCACGTGTACCTATTAATGTCACATTCACTACCTTCTGGGACCATTAGAGGGAATAGGATTGTGACTCATCACGGTTTTCACAAACCCCTTAATTTAAACGTATTATTACTTTTTGTCGCTCAGTAACGTATATGAAGAGATTACTTGGAGGTAGAATACACGAAGCCTACAAAGGACTTCCCTTTGGTGAGTCTACACAGTGAGTAAGGGGCCAACATCTTCCCATCTATTCAAAGGAAGGTTCTTATAGCACTGAGGTAGATCACTTTGAGTACCGTCTAACAACTACTGCACTCAACTACCAACAAACGGTTATCACATGGGGTGTAAATTTTCGTACTTGAGAATTATTTCATATTAACTAGGATCGGAGTTCGGTGAAGAAGCCTCTTTCTACTTTCAATCAACAAGGTTTGAAGTTCATAATTGTCCTACATGAACTATTTGCACACTTACTAGACATCGATTCAGAATATATTCACTTTCATTTGTGTTACTATATTAATTTCGCAGTATGTTATCTAGTCCAGTTAAGTAAAACATATTATACAGGTCAATTCGTCTGACTGTAAAACTGTCGAGGTTCATCATTTTCGGTTTTTTGTTTGAAATCACTTTCACAAACACAAAGTAATGCGAACTAAAGATGGACTCTGACCTTGAGTCAGTGGCTTTGTTTACTTTGGCGGCTCGTGGTTTGCTTAAGGCCCCGCTTAAGAACATGGTCCAAGGTTTGCAGCAAGCACCTGCAGTTTGAGAATAAAGGTGATGGCTCGATGCCTAAATTCATACGCTCAGAAAGTCATGCATGAAGAGCATTACGAAGAAGACGTTGATGACGAAGACTTGGATGATGACGATGTTGATGGGTATGAAGGACTCAGTGACTACGATGAAGATGACATACCTGGATCCTCTGGCTACGGAAGCCACAGTTTTGGTAATACTGGGAGTGAGGGCAAAAGTGCTGACTTGCGGCGCCAGAGATCTATTAGCGAAGGTGGTGCTGTGTACTGTGTCGAGGCTGGTGAAGACAACAGGCAAGTTTTTTTAATGGCTTTTGTGGTTTCTCTAAAAATAAACATGTGTTTCTCATCTAAGTTTCAATCTAGGGTGGTGGTTGGATAGGTGGGTACCCGAAAACTTGTCCTGGGAGTTAAATATGATGTGGTAGGTATTGATGTCCATTAGGTGTAGAGTGGTTTCCGATATTATTCCGAACAAATTACTTTGTTGGTGTCTGCTAACAGAATGGTGGTTTTAGATTATATTTGTGCTCATCACAGTGATGCATAAAGCCTAATACAAACCAAGTGTTGCGTACCGTCTCTGGTCCCGAACTTTCAGTATCGTTTACCTCAAAAGCTACAGACAACTGGTGATTAGTTTGCACTTGAGTACTATCTTAACTTCACCCCAGTAAATCCCGGTGGTCGAAACTGACGTTCCTTAAACGTACGTTTCAGAGTCGGATATTACATAACTTCTGTTACTATAGAAACCACCTTAGTAACAAAAACAACTGTCGTAAGAATGCGTTTGATGCCATCTAGGTTAAACATCTGAAGAGTGATTTTGGATACCACAAGTCTCAGTGTTCCAACATGTTTATGTTTACTTGAGACAAACTTAATCCTACTGCATACATGGTCGTTAAAGCTTTCTTTGCGCGTGGGAAGACGTTCGGATCTTTCCTTGTGTTCACTGTTTTGTAGTGCTCTCTAATTAGCTGCACTAGGTAATGGTGCATTTACAAAAATTGAGGAAAAACCCTACAAACGGTTACTATCAGTAACAATACTGGGACGTTAAAAAGGTACAATTGAAGGTATGCTAATGTGAACCAGTCAGTGAATCATTAAGATTAGTCACCATTGATCTCAGTAAAAGTTTGTTCAGCAATGTTCAAAGTACCACTTTGAAGACGATCAGTCATATACGTCGCGAGGTCTGGGATGAGTATGCATTCTTCACACCAACAAGGTAGAGAAAAACTAGTCGAGCGAAGTAGTATTCCTAGAATGAGAGGCTTAGCACATACCTTTAAATGAGGAGGTAAGATGAATGACAATGTTTTGGCACCGAGCTTGGTGTTAATAAAATACCGCTGCAGAACCAATCTTGTTTTTGTATAAGTATTCTAGTAGGAGTGTCGAATGAAGTTACTTTCTGATAACTCACCATAGTTAATTTTACCTCTGTAGTTACATGACGGTCTGATCTTGATTTAAACATATTTATAAGATACTCGTTGATATCTGGCGTGTGTCTAGCGTATTATGGAACGATTAAGAAGATCCTATCATTTTAAAATGAATCGCTGCCATGGCTTGTTCACGTCGTACACGGTGTCTCGTAATATATCAGACTTAGCCATAATCTCACAACGTGTTTGTTGACTGGAGTTTTCTATCTTCATTTTTACCCTACGTATATCGTTAAATTCGTAAAAATGAATTGATCTATCGTGCTTCAATATATCTGCTATCAAGTCCAGTACAACTAGGTTCGAACTCAGTCTGTACTAATGGCTACACTAGATCCTAAATTGCCGTGAAATTAACCGTCCAAGAATGGGTTCTTTTTATGGTCTGCAAACCTCACTATAAAGTACCATTTTCCATATGGTAAATCTATTACACAACTTTTCCTTGGTTTTCAATGTATTATTACTAAGGTTTGTTACTTTTGACGAACCATTCTCAGGTTGATAAATAACATTGCTTGTGTGGTACCTGTCCTTGAGTTTTCAACAATCTTAGATTACCAAATCTACGTTGACTTTCAGACGGGATCATCACAACCAACTTGAACGTAAAAGACGTGCAAGCATCAAAACAAGTTATAATGACCTTCGAGAAGTTATCCCGGGTTTACGAGGATCGAAAGCATCTAGGGCAGTTATACTACAGCGCGCAGTTGAGTGCATCGAAGAGTTGGTCAAATTGAATCGTGACCATACTGTTTGTGTTGAAACGCTGAAACGTCAGAACGACCTGTTGGATTCTCGAGTAAGTCGTGGGACTAATAATTTTTTATGATCACACCAACATTGTAAATCGATTTTTTAGATGTATTGGTAGACGTCAGCAGAACTAACGGTTAGACATTTACGTAGTTTCTACGTTTCTATTAATTTACTAATCAATGTACAGGTATCAACTACCAAGCAATGCAACGAAAACTTCAGTAGAAAACCAACCATATGTCTAAAAGAATGTAACGTGGATTGATTAACGTGGGTACATTCATACTAACTACGGATACATTTGTACATTTTAAGTCCTTCACACAATCTTCATCGTCTGTCACTGGCTTTATGGATCAAACAGATGTCAATTATTACTACAGACAGACACGTGAACCTTGGATGCCCTCAGTTTATATTGCCTCATTTCACACCTAAACAGCAATAATTATCAATGAATGGAGAAACGTTTGCAACTGATTATAGAACAATGACAAAAATCTAGATTAAGACGCGAAATAGGATGTAATTTAGTACTGTGATGTGTTAATATAAACACATAAACCGATGCATATATGTGCCTGGACCTACGTTGTAGCTGAATGACAAACACTAAACAATTGCCAGATAAATTTTGAATAAATATGCACCATGATCGGTTTTGGGCAATTCTACATAGTCTCCAACAATTATTTCTCGTACGTCAACCAGGGAGACACGTCTCAAAGCACACCTCAAAATAAAAATTTATAATCCCATGGACACGTTATATCCTAATCTTAACTGTTTTCACCTACCGCTAGATGACATATAGTCCAAGGTAGAACTAGACTGAAGGATTTTAGATAGTTTATTTTAACTTACAAGTATAAAGGTCATCTAACATCATATTTAACGTTCAGCATGTATAACGAACGGAAAACAAACATGCCACGTTATTACTTTCACGGCAACTTCCTAATATAAGTAAGAATGTCAGGAGAAATGTTCGAACGCATACTAATAACGAATATTACAAATGACTGATGTTTTCAGTTAATTTTCTACATTAGCCATGCTGTTCAAAGTCCAGTCTAGGTTTAATTTACTGTATTTGATATGTTGAGCCAGCTTTTCATTTTCATAAGTTAGGGTCTATGTTTATATTTTGTATCGTCTACTTTCCAGGTTCAAGAGCTCCAACGTTTGGTGCAGCGAATGGATGGCGAAGAAGCGTGCAACACTCCAACTTCAAGTTCTTTTGCTAACACTATTTCTCCGAATAATAATGTCGCCCTTCGATTAATATCACCAACAGCTTCGGGTGTCCCAATGTATCGCTGTATGTCTCAAGATCCACTCCAGTCATCTACATCAACAGAATGTGTAAGTGTGGTATCTGAACGGTTGTATGAAATAATTCAATTTAAGTCCAATATCTATTTAATTTTATGTGAAAAGGCCTTAGCTACACCGTTAACTTCGGTTAACAGTTCAGATATCTGTTGGTAACCTACATTTCTTTGTAGATAAAATTAACAGCTGTCCTGCCTACGGTATTTGTTTTACGAGATTTAGACTCATCCTTCACATCCAATTCACCACTTGTTTTTATAGGTATACATGTCGATTTTCCTGATTTCATATTTCATAAATGTCAAGTTCTTGTTAGCGCTAATATACTCCCAGCTATAGATATAGGCCACTTTCCTTTATTCATTCAGATTAAATATCCACCTCAGTTATCAAACAAAAAAATCACTGCTGATTTACACACCGCTTCAAGTGTACACGCTTCTTGTTCAAATACATAATCATAATTATTTAACCTGTTACCACTCATATAGCGTAGGCCACCAACTGGGAGTCTCTAACAAACTCCATCCAGAGCCATTCTTCATAGTCGTTCCAGACTGCTATTCATTCTTTCGATGTCTGGCTCTAATTCCCGGAGCAATGTGTTTCCTGGTTTTACTGTTTTTTCGTCTTGAGGATTCCAAGTTAGGGCTTACCTTGTGATGCAGTCTGATGATTCCTACAATGTGTGTCCTATCCAGAGTTTTCCTAATCCCCTCTTCACCTGAAAGCTGATTTTGTTCTCTGCCGCAACCGATTAATGTTGATGTTCGTTGTAGTAGTTCTTCGAGTTCCAGTTCTGTGTAGTGAAGCTGTCTTAACGCTTGTGTTAGAAATTCTAACTTCGGTCTCGGGTGACGGTTGTCTTGAGTTCCAGATGTATAGTAGGAATGCTACCCTTGTTTTGGCAATCCGAGCCTTCACATCTGCATCATATGCACCTTGTTTATCAATGGTGCTGAGCAGGTACGTAAATGCTTCCTCCTCTTTCATTGTGACTTGGTTGGAGCTCGCTGTGTCGTGTTTTAGGATCTTGCTTTTCCCCTTGTAAATTTTGAGGCCTACTGATGCAGAGGCTGGTGCCATACTGACTGCCTTCATCTACATTTGTTGGTGTGTGTGGAATAGAAGATAATATGCGAAGTCCAAGTTGTCTAGATGTTTATTGCATTTTGTCCTTCCCCTGTGATGTGGAGATCTTCATAGTCATGTCAACAACTAGAAGGGAAAGGGCGAAATTGAGCAACCTTTCCTGACACCAGTCTTGATTTGGAATGCGTCTGTCAGTTGTCCTCCATGCACAACTTTGCGATTCAGTCCATATGTTTTTGATGATCTTCTCAGGTACATCATCGTTTTAGAGAAGATTTCACGAGGTTCTCTTATTCAAATTGTCAAACGTCTTCTCATAGGCAAGGGAGTTGATGCATAATGAAAAATTCCACTCACTTGACAACTCAATGATCTGTAGTCTCGTATACTGTTACTCTGTAAGAAATCCAGCCCATTGGTCTCGAAGTTAGGCGTCTACGGAGTCTTATTTAGTTTAGCAGCATTCTGTCTGGAACTCACTGGAAATGGTAGTTGTGTATTTTCTTTGATGTTCTCCCACTTGCTTAGATTTTTCTTTAGTATCTTAATCTGGTATCCTTCTTTCCAATGCATTAGTAGTTGTTCCTCCAAAGTCATTCTGGAAAAATGTCAGTTTTTCTTCTGGGAAAATGTCAGTTTTGTAGCTACCACTGTATCTGACTTCATCTGGTACTATGTTTGGTCCTGCTGTTTTGCCACTCTTGATCTGTCTAATGGCCATGCTGATTTCTAATTTTAGTGGAAAGACATCTGTCATGATGTTCAGGTCCTTTCCTGGACACTTACGATCGATTGCAGCGTCTCATAAAACTGATCTTTGTCGTCTTCGTTTCTATCATTAGTAGGTGGATATCACTGGACAGTTTTCATCGTAAGCCCCTCCTTTGTTTTGAACACTCCTTTTATGATTTTGGATCCATGAGATTCTTGTCCTATAAGTGCTTTTCATGCTTCTTTGGACAGCAGTATAAATCCTTGTGTGGGTGAAGCACTTTCTTGTTCACGACCTGAGTGCAGCAACATCTCTCCTGTGTCTAGCGTTTTCTGTCCAGTTTGGCTCCGATGGGTTTTACTTATTCCGAGAACCGCTTGGTTGTATCTCCTTATTTCTGCGGCTGTTTTACTAGTCTTCCCAGTCTCCTACATTGTTCGGACATTCCATGTGCCTATATTGATTAGTTCTGGTTATCAGAATGGCCATCGACCTCATGAGTTCCGAATAATCTTGGCTTTCACAATGATTCGTTATAACTCTTCTAAACAAAGATTCTTCAGCTCACAGAGTTTAAATAGTTTAAATGAATTTTTCTGATTACCCGATTTTATCAGGGTTGTTTTTTTGTGAAATGCTGTTTATCTAATCGCCAAACCTCTATCTTGGCTCGGGACCGGCAGTATTCCTAGAAGAGCTCCAGGTGGAGCTATGTAATCATAATAAGAAGTGGTAAGTCATGATAGTCATAATAGTACGTCTGACTATCGGCTTTTTTAGATTTAGTAGTAATGGCTAAGTTTAGCTTCGGTATTGGATTTAATTACAATCGTTCTTGATTGAGTGTTCTTATACTTTTCTCCCTGAGCATTCATTAGTCATCACTCGTTCGTTTGCTTTATTTTTTACCTGATTGATGTTTCTGATATGTTAGTCTGAACTACAAGTGATATTACAATTAGACATCAACCTATGGATTTCCTGTAATAATTGATATATTTACTGTTAGCGGGACATAGACTGGATTAAAGCATGCTCAATGCACGATTGCTTTGCTGCACGCTGGGTGGCTAATTCTCATCCAATCAGCACTAGTCGATAGTTGGAGAATACTCTAGAATCTTCTCATATAAAAACTATAAACATACTAATGTTTTCTCTATTGTGCTTCTTACTTGCATCTTACTTCCATCTAACCTGGCTATTTGAAATATAATCTCTTTCCTGTTCAACCGTGTTCTGATTTGGGGTCTTGTCGAGTGGTTTGGTGTCCAAGAGTACTAAGCAGTAGGAATAGCTAGGTCATAACCGTAAGAAAGAGATTATAACATTTATCATCTTGCGTAAGTCATTTGACTGTAGTCTTAACCACATTGCTCATTCGCTGTCTACATGGCGGTTGCAGCAACCCGTCATTATAAACCAAGCTCACATATTGCTCAGATATTACCTAATTTCTGGAATAAACCTTAACAACTATCTTTTATTGTATTTATGTATTTCTTCATTTCAGCCCGGAACTGCTTCTGGTACAGAATATGTGTCGTCTAGTCATCCATCTGTTCTTCAGTCACAAAAACCTGTTCTATGCACTATGGCAAATTATTCTCCTTCTGCGCTTGGCCGTGCTAACACAGTAATGCATTTCGTCACTAACACGAGTGCCATAAATTCAATCGGGGGACTGGCGACCGACAGCAACACCACGAGCCTAGTTTCTAGTTCACATTCTGCATTTTCCCCTTCTGTTTCCTCGTCTGATGGATCCAGTACTGGGCCTGCACGATCCCTCTCCCAGCGGTCTAGTCCTGGTGGGTTGTCATCTTCGTCTAATACTTCATCTAACCCGACATCACGGCAATCCTTTAGGACAGATGATGACTACTCAGCAGTTTCGAGGGAAGTAAATTCAACAGGGTCATTAGAAAATATCCCAACATCCGCGGATGGTACCACACATTCAAACATCAAACCAGTTCGTCAACAGTTGCGTTCATCTTCTAGTCCTTCACGTTCTTCTCCACCACCGATTTTATCGACCGTACCAACTTTGTTACCCGCTTATCGTAAATCAGATTCTCCTATACATTCATCACACTCACTAAACTCAGGAAGTTGCAATTCGCAAGGGAATTTAGGCGGAAAATCGAAGCGTCGCAAATTTAGATGAATTTTTCTCAGTAGTCTTCCTCAAGTTCTCAAGTTTATTTTGTTTTTGTTCCACATAAATTCTGGGATGTTTTGTCACATTATATCTCGATGGTTTCTTAGTTTTACCCAGGATTTCTATTTTACCAAACGTCGAAATAATTTCCCCCGTATTTGGGTTTTCAGTTTTCTTTTGTCAATTTTATTGACTAACCGAGTAGATTAGTTTCCACAGATGAACACTCAAGTTATGGGTTATTCATGATACTCTTCTAAATCCACTTGCTGTTTGTCAGTCAGTTTTCACTTAGACTAATTTATGTGTAGTTAATTTATTATGCTTATTTATATATCTAATATATATGCTTGTATATCAGCTTTATTTTTGCTATGCCATCTAAAGTTTGGTTCAATAAGCGGTTTTTCATGAAAATTTGTTTCTTCCTTTGAAGCTTACGCTGAAGAGGAATCCAGTGTATTATTTTCCACTTTCTCACTTTGTCTCTTGATGACATGTTCTAATCATTTCTGCCAAAGAACTAATTATCATAAAGAACTCAATTATGGTTTAAGTGTATTGTTTCATATTTTATGATGCGTATGTTGTACTTACAAAGACAGTTCCTCAGTCCAGTAAGTTGAAGCTATTTGCCTGTGAGAAATTTCATGCTACCTCTATACTATGCAAATCTTTAAAGATAAACGGTTTAGTCCGGGCATAAACATCTGATGTAAGTTGTGTGTGTATACGCGACATTCCTCAAGAGTATAAACCCACAAAATGCATGATCCGGCTTTCCAACTTGATATTTGTAAGATCACAGACTGTCCATATTTTGTACCAGTTCTTAGTTAGTCGTTTTTTTTCAAGGTATACCGGAAGCATGGCTTAATTTGGAATTTAGAGTCCTGTTCTCATATTAGTTAACCGGGTGTAACCTTCACGTTAACAGTTGCAAATCCGTCAGCAATGACCTGGAGAAGTAAACGAAAATAGGTTTCGCATCGCACATCAATAAACCTGCATGCAGAATTGTGTGCTATCTAACTTATCAAGTTATCATAGCTTGTTGATTATCACTAAAAAACCAGCTGACTCATCAAGTACGTTATTTCGTAAATATGTTGGTGGAGTGGTCTCGTCCATAAGTCAAGATACGTCTGGCTAGTTTAGAGTTTCAGTACGAGATGGTTTGAGAACTACCAAGTGAGGTACGGTTTTCTGTTTGACAGTTGTACAACAATAGTAAAGAACTACTTTACAGCTGGATCGTTCATCAGCATGTGATCATAACAACCTTACGAAATTATTTCCGTATTAGCTTTTCCAAAAAGTAATGCTTCCTGTACAAAGATACATTACGTCCCACAAAAGTCTTTGAAATAGAATACCTAAGTGATTTCAAAGGATCGGGTCGTAGCACTTAGTTAACATGTGTAGCACTACATTAGCCTAATTTTATCCGTTTGTTTATATTCTTGAAAATATCTTAAACGTATATTTATGCCAGTCTAACAACCTTTGGAGACGGAGAGTTACTGCTGGTTGCTTCAGCTTTCGTCTATGGACATCATCTCAAGCATGTATCTTCCAGTAGGTATGTCGTTCTCTAGCTCCTTTGATTAATGGTGTAGTGTTAGTTATCTTCCTTAAAAAATAAGTTAATATTACCCAACCACAAAATCTGGAAATATTTTTTAGCATATCTCTCGTTAGTGAATATTAGCTAGAGCCGTCTACATTGTTGACATCAGTTGCATGGCATGTACTCTCGACTTCTCATTCACTTTTAATTCAAGAGGATGAGCTACGTTGAAAGAGAACGACAAATGAAAGTTGTCAGATTCATGTGTAAACTTCATAGCTTGCTTTTCATGCTAATGATCATGTTCTCTGTAGTAATCAGGCATTCGCGTTTCCCCCACATGGTTCACGTAACAAAAGATCAGATGGATTTTTATGGGTTATCCAGAAAAGAAATTGGTTTGTAACAATGCTACTGTCGGTCATATTCAATGTTTCTAGCAGCAAGAAAAACCATCAATGAAATTCTGGTATCAAAGCTTCCAATTTAGTTTACAAATTAGTATTTCGTATAGCTATCGATTATTTTCTACCCACTAAGAGTTATCACGATAGGAGTAGAATGTTTATAGGGTTGTGGCGTTCCAGCTATGTTCGTGTTGAGGAGAATCAGTGTTCAGTTTCTTAGTTATGGTGTCTACACCTAAAAGTTAGTGATAGACTTCAAACATTCGAGTTCTGGATTATATTATTCACAAATATGTATTTGCCCTCAAAATCTGTATTCATTTGTCCCGATTAGTTTGAGTCTACTTCTAGTTACCATAACTTGTATCAATTCTGTAGTTAATCATTAAGAGATAGGATCCAAGGTTCTCCATCAATTTCAATATTACAGTATGAGGTCCTTTTCTGATATATTTAATTTTTCTATGGTTCCTCATCCCCATCTAATTATTTAGTTTCATGGTATTTATGAAACCAATGTGAGATTTCGTTCAATGCAACTGGATGGCTTCGGCTATTTTTATCTTTTTATTCATCAATTTACATTTGTATCAGTGTTTTGTTAACAGATGCTTCATGACTCAAATATACCAGACCAAGGTTTGTAGAAATAATCTCATTGTCACCTTTCAGGCACATGTTGTTCCGATTTCGATTTCAGAATTTACATGTTTGATACATTGCTATACACACAAATTCCATGTAGGTAGTTAGCTTTCAGAGCATTTTTCCAGGAAGTTGCTTATTTTACTTTCCTAATACAGTTAGGTGCAGAATATTATTGGAGTTATTTCAATTCATAACTAGTTGGTTGTTATTTCAGACATGCAATAGTACTAAAGAATTAAATAACTTAGTCTTCAAAAAAGAAACTACAACCGAAAATACACTATATCTAATAAACCTGATTAGTTTTAAATACACTTAGTAATGATATTACTTACGGTACAGTGTATTTAAAGCTAATCAGGTTTGTTAGATATAGTGTATTTTCGGTTGTAGTTTCCTTTTTGAAGACTAAGTTATTTAATTCTTTAGTACCATTGCATGTCGGAAATAACAACCGACTGGTTATGACTTGAAATAATTATATAGATCCGTAACTATTCTGCACACCGTACTACAGTATATGTTAAGAGGACAGTAGAAATATTGCTCTAACCATGGTAGTTATTACTAAATTTTATGGTTTTTCCACTTTGGACGGTATTAGTAGACTTTTAAGGCGATTATATTCTTTCCACATATATCAGATGTGCCCAGAAATATAGTAATTATATATATAATGTGCGATAAACCGGTTTCACAATTTTAAATAAATTAAGAAGGAACGAATTGTGCGAAGAACTTTCTTTTTCAATTAGTTGAAAACTAATTGAAAAAGAAAGTTCTCTCAATTCGTTCCTTCTTTATTCACCAATTGTCAAAATGGGAATTTTCACTATATTTAAATAAATTATTCTACAGTTTTGTAGGCGTTCCTGTAAAAATCTTTCTACGGTTTAAATCCAATTGATGTGGATACGAGTTTCGTCTCGATATCTCTTCTGTAGACGTTACCGCAAAATACATATGCAAACAGATTGTTCAAAAGTGGATTCGGATGTGTTTTCGAATTTCTTCCCGTATTTTTTTATCCGATCAATAGCTAATCAAGAATGTAAGAAGCTGGTTGCAGAACTGTTTATTCCATATTCGATCCCAGCATCAACTAATTTTGAAGTTCAGCAGGATCGTAGACAACGACGATTTTCTTTTGAATGTTCGGTTCACGAACCATTATCGGTTTTCTTCACTCGTCTTATATCTTCCATTAATGGCCAGTATTTGAAAGGAAGGAGTATATCAACCAATAACAGAGTTTATTTAGCTACAAAAGCTAACTTGGTTTGCAAAAGTACAGATGGATCTACTGCTTTAACAGAATTTAGTAATGACAAGACTCTTGAAGATTGTTTTCTATCAGACTCTACTGATAATAATGCTAGTAAACCGTATCAATTATTGTTGCAAATAAACTTTTCCATGCATGACTATCCTGAAAAAAATACCTTGCTTGTTTATGTTGTCCAGAGAAACCCAGCACATATAATCCAATGCCGTTTAAATACAATTCCAATGGTGGGTTGCCCTGTTGTACCGCTTCTCGAAGGAGAAAATATATGTCTGACAAATTCTGAATTTCTATGGTTTGTTGGACAGGTAATCATATTTCCTATTCGTTCTTTTTTAATTTGATATACAGTAGCTTGACTATGATGCTGTTTCTGTAAATTCGCTAGTGTATTTATGGATATGTGTTATCCTATTGAATAAAATAACCACAACAAAAATCTTATTTCGTGTGTATTTAGTATTCTTTTCTAATCTCTAGCGAATTTACGACATTTAAACTTCAAAAAATATAGAAACAGTAAATAATTGGATTTATGAATAACTTTTTGCAAAGTGTATGAAATCTGTTTATTTTGTGAGTTCATTGACTCTTAATACATACACTATCATCAAACATCTTTCATGCTCAATGCAAGTTGGATGATCTTAAGTAATGTATGTAGGTAGGCGCATCCAGCATTAATCTACAAAGTTCTCAATTCGTAATGTTAACAGTATGTGGAAATGTAGGATTTTGCATCCAGGTTCACATGAATTTAGACACTATATCTAATCAGTAGTTGCTTATCTAGAATGTCGTCTAGTTCTTTTCATGGTTCGTAGCAAACGAGGAATTTACAAGGAGACTATTGTCTACTTTTCAGTGAGCATCGATAGTGATTTTCATCACAATGAATCCAAAAATCCCAGATCTCTCCCAAACTTACCCACATAAATTTGTCTAAATTCGCCTAAACGTGGCACGTGAACTATCAATATGAAACTGAGTTAGTTTTCTCCTAACTCTAAGCATAAAAGTCATAGGCTTAAAATCTGACCGCTTTGGGTTTATTGACAGTCTAATAGAACAATAAAGTTCGTATCAGTAGCAATCTTCAGTTTCATCCAATCACTTTCTGTATTACGACTCATTCTGTTAATTTTAATGTCTACATCCAATCTTTTTGAATTTTTTTTGTTTATTTCGATCATGTGTGTGATTGTTTTCCTCTGTAATTCACAGTCTAAAAAATGGCCAGATAAACCGTGTCACAAAGGCTTCTTATTCATACCAACTGAAGATCATGTTGGTTTATCAATTCAGTTGAAAGTTCGTGTACGTGACATTAAAGGTATGGCCGGTGTCCCATTCGGAACAAACAAATTTTTTGATCCTTATGGACAACCGATTGAATGCAAATCGCCTGTGCTTATAGCTCCTAATCAAGTATTTCATCAGCAGAGGTAAGAACGTTAATAATTGGTTTAATTTCATTCGCCATAAAAGTATTTTTGCATAATGAAGTAAAACATTTATAATTAAAATAAATATGTTCTACATTTCTAGCTTGTTTGTAATACGTTGAATATAGCAATTCAAGGTATACTCTGCCAAGTAACTGCACTTGTTGCAGCCAATGGTGGTAACCACTTTTTCAGAGAAACTTATCGATGGTAATGCATGCACTTTGCAAGGATCAAAATGGAATTTTGTGAGTTCAATAAGAAGTAGCAGAACTGTAAAATGGCCAATACAGTATGCCTCATGTTATATTTTGTCCTAATGATGCTTTCCTAAACGTTGGTTAACGAATGACGTTTGAACCTGTCGCGCAAAAAATGTAGATAGCTAATGATATTGGTTAACAATGCTATTGAATTATGCAGGTTATGTATAACGTTAGTCAAAGGGATATAGAGCTTTGGGAGCCACAGTATTTGATTCTTCAAAACAGCAAGAATTGTAGGCTGTAGAAGTCAGGGTATGGCCTTAATTGATGTTAAGCAATCACTTGAGCTATACTCTCGATTCCCTTTTTTGTATGCAAATTGTAATTACACTGTCGTGTCAGATGGGACGTTTCTCCACTCACTCTCATTACCTCTTACTCTTATTCTCATATTAATTAACAGGTATAAGTGGATTGAAAACAATCAATTAGATTCACAACATTTACGTGTTGTAAGTTACAATATTCTGGCCGAAATGTATGCTCGATCTGATTTTGCTCGTGCCCATATATTCAAACATTGCCCAGAGGCTTGTATCAGTTCAGCCTACCGATTACCGTTGATTTTACGTGAACTGTTTTCTTATCAGTCGGATTTTATCTGCCTTCAAGAAGTCGATCGATGGGTTTACGAGAAATACCTTCTAAATGCTTTAAGATCCCATCGAAATATGGACGGCATATTCTTAGCTAAAAGAGCAGTCATAACTGATCCGAATGATCCGGCTAAAGTTATAGTTGACACAGAAAAAGAAAAGGTAGTTGTAGTGTTTTTTTTTTCAGTATAAGTTTATTGATAATGAAATAGTTTAGTGGTTTCTAGTAAATTTGTTATTTTTGAATGCAGTTAATACAAGTGACAATATATAGGTACTTATTGTGCTGTAGTTTAAAAATTTGATAGCGGTAACGTGGTGTTTATAGTTCTCGCTTTTCAATCAATAGGCTGAAGACTTGATTCTCCCTTCACTTCCAGTTTAGATTTATGGACCATTACTTAGTCATCATCAACGTAAAGCTTAGAGGTGTGCCGGTTCATGTTTTCATATCGCTAGATATCATACAGTGAGTCCCAATGTCCAAGAACATGACTTTACGTTTGGTACATAAATTACAACTTATCGTCAATACCACCATCAACAGTCGTATTTATGTTTTGTCTTTTGCTGGGTTGATTATCACATGACTAAATCGCCAATTAGAACACCGACTTATTGACCAGACCAATGACGCATGAACTAGTACGAGCAGCCTAGAGTCAATCCTGAGTCCTGATTGGTCCTTCTACCTAGCCCTGCCTGTTGAGTCCAGAACACAGCTTCCACTGCATTAATCATGTATTTCAGACATACGCAGTTTATATACGAGCAAATCAGACCGCATCATACAATAAGATAGAAAATAACAACCACACAAGATCAAGCTAAATGTGTCTGTGAGTGTAAGAGACTAACTAATAAACTGGGAATAACTTAGGAATAGTCAATCATGTAATAGTAGTTAATTGCTCAAATGGAAGCCTATAATAAAAGGAATATAAATATATAAAATCTACTTACTTGATAGTTATACAATAAGAATATATATAGTGAAAATCCATAAATAGATCCTAGTAGTTACCATTCACTTATTCTTCGTTCAGATGTAACAATTTATAGTGTGTCTTCTATCACTGATTAGGGCCTAGTAAACATGACATCAAGGGGAAGCACAGTTCAATCCTTTTTGAAATTGATTGCCTCATGAAACCTTTAAAGCTCCAATATTCGTGACTCAGTTAAGACTTGAAAATAACTACGTATTTGTTGGGATGTGCATCTAGTTTTGTATGTTGCAAAATGTTAAACCTCTGTTCACTATATTTGGACATATACCGAAAAATTACTGAACTTCTCGGTCATTGAAGAACCTTTAATGTTCTTTTTAGATACTGTCTTATCACCACAAATATCTAGTAGTTCGCTTTTCTTAAAAGTAACTTCATGCAGAAGCTACATAAAAATTTATACAAGGAACTACAATCTACAACGTTTGTGTTTTAGCAGTTCAACTTAACTTCCGATGTACTATGTTCGAGTGAAATGGATTAGAACTCATGTAGACCTGATAGTTGTGTTCCAAGTCCAACTGTAGTTCCTACTATAACGTGCTAATCGGGAGTGTCTGTTGTGACTACCGAATTAACTATTTTGGGTAGAACACTCATCGTTCCGTCAGGCCAGATAAATCGGTTAGAGAGCTGTAAGACTCAGGACAACAATTTAACGTCCGAACGTAAAATCATATTAAGGCAGGAGTAATGTGTTTGTTTCAGACAACCAGCATCTACAAATAGATGTAAAAGCACGCCAACTTCAAAGATGTCGCACCTCATCTATTCCCGTCACTGGTGGTAAGGTTTGAAAAGCATGAAGCTGACGCTAAAAATACTCACTAAAAGATTGTGTGTAACTAGACTAATGAATTCTCATTTGGTTTTCATCCTTAGTGGCTAGGGAATTGATTAAATACTCGCAAAGTATATATATGTACTATTTTTTTTAATTCAAAGGGTGAAGGTTGTGCAATCTTCTATCGTCGTGCTCGGTTTGAACTTGTGTCGAAATGCGGCCTACCATCGATACTTCATTATGCATCAACCGTTCCATTTTTATCAACTATGTTAAACAGTTTCAATTCCACAACCTTAAGCTGTAGCTCAACGGGCCATTCATTTAGTGAAGAGAATACCGAAACCCATATTCAAAAGTCATTATCGCAGTGTCTGATCAGTGGGATATTTCGAGAGAAGTCGACCACATCACAATCTCCTTTACTAATTGTTTCTAATGCCCACTTCTATTTTCATCCTTCAGCTAGTCCGATTCGAATAATTCAAGCGCGTACAGTTCATTACTACTTATCAAAACTTGCTATGGATTACAGACAGTCGGATAAGCAAGTATTCTTTTGTTTATTGGTGTATATAATGTAGACTCTTGATGCTGATTATCACTTGAATATGTAAGGCTTCTTAGGCTCTAAAACTTGTAACTTTTTTAATAAAAATAATCTTAATCTATTTTACTAGGTCAATCATTCCGTTAATTTTTCTTTATTTTCATGTTCACTTCAGTAAACCAATTCCAATTGTTTTTTGTGGGGATATCAATCAGTGTCCAGGTAGTGATGTGTATACCGCTCTCACTCAAGGTGATGGATGCCCATGTGATGAGGAGGTTGCTTATCAGCCTATATTTGAATCAGCTTATGTAAATAATCCACCTGAATTTACTAACTGGGTGCCTGGATTTCACAATGTTTTGGACGTTATATTGTATAATACAGACTCAGATTTAAAATGTATTCATGTGTTGCCGATTGATCCACTGGAGAAAATCCAAGAGTTGTTGATTCAGTTAATCAATGAGAATGGTCAAATTGTGCAAGATTCTAGCGAATTGGGTCTCCCAAACGCCTACTTCCCAAGTGATCATATCGCACTTGTAGCTGATTTTTCATGGGACTCTTTAGAACATACAAGTGAATAGTTCTTCATGTATAACTACAAGAAAGAAAATGAACTTTTAAAAACAATGATAATCGTCATCTTTTTATTAGATAAATCAGTCAATCTAATATAGATCTAGTTTTGATAAACTTGAAGTGATAGACTTGTTTTTTTAAAGATAAATCTTAAAATTGAGATAACCGTAATGTAAACAATATTTTGTTGTGATGGTTGCTATTTTCTGTGTTTACTTTGGTTTTCTCAAACGTTTCTTCTCAACATAGTGTTGTTTTCGCCCTTATCATCCTGTTCTGGATCATATGTAGATTCTGATTGACATTCTACAGACACCACTTCAAATCTTCCTGTAGAACTGGAAGCTATAAAATAAAAGCATTAAAGTAGTCAAACGATTGTAATGGTGGAATAAATTTTTGTAAAGTGTCAATTTATCAAATAATTACTGGACGAAACAAATATTATCTTTATATTTATACATGTTGCGTATTAATCTTTGGTGCGTTGTAAGCAAACAAACCACTTGTTATACAAGAAACAAGTCTCAATAATTTAAAAGCAGATAACACTGTTTATTATAAATATGTTTCGGATCAGAAAGCTGCAACTAGTCGGAACTTCCTGAAAATAATACCGATTTCCAATTGTATGCTATAGATTTTCGTATAGGCCGCTAGTAGTTGGAATAATGGTTGGAGTCTCAAAAATTATTTATGTGGACTTCTTAGGGAAAAAATAACTTGAAAATTATTTACGTACGCCATATAAAGAGGACGAAAGGATAAGTCTTAGGAGGGATTCCGAAAACAAGTCGAAAGCCCTTGATTTCAGTTCACCAAACTAAATTCGTTTTATTAAGCCACCTACTGCAGTCAAACTGTATAAGCGTTGCTTGTAAGGTAGTCCCAAACTGCGTGGTCTAAAATTCAAGACAACACATTTCGAATATGAAAAACTGAACTAAACCTAGAGAAGTTTCAATACTGAAATGGAATAAACTTCATCTTTCATATGACCATTCAGTTTTGCTTCTCAATATAAGGATTTGTAAAACAACAGTCTGCACTGAGTCGGTCAGCTGTAACCTCATGAAGAAAATTGTCATTCTATCAACTACTTGTTTAAATAAAGGATGATATTATCAGAATTATAAGCAATGGAAAATAACCCTCCCCCCTAATTAGAATATTTTGATAAAAGTTAGAATTATGTTGACTAATAATTTAAAAATCGGATCTGAAATATCCACTACTGATAACAATACTCTCGTTCAATTTTTTAAATACATTGATTATGTATTGGTTAATCTGACTAACAACGTCTTAGGGATTAGTTTCGTCACTGATGATGATATCATAAAGATAAAACTAGGCTCATTCGACTCAGTTCTGTGCTCTCTAATTTAAATAATTATCCGAGAGTCAAAATTCGCTTATATAAACATACCTGTTCCCTATATTATTCATAATTAATTGATTGTGAAATATATGGAGATGGATTGTTTCTCTTTTTTCCAATCCTTCGTTGGTATCATGTATCACATCTCTTGGAAAAAAATATTAGCGTAACAATAATAAAGCTGTTAAATGTGATTATGTTGAGTCGGCTTTCCGAGAACTGCAATGGAGCCTCCAGAGGCCCTAAAGGAGCCGGAGAGTCCTAGCCAATCAGAGCATGATGGAGCTTTCTAGAATATCAACGTGGCGTGCTACTATTGGCCAGTAGCATAATATGTCTTTTAGCGGACTGGCCAAAATATGATGTTGATTTAACAAATGTTAACATCTATAAATACCCGTGTTTTTCTGTGCAAAAATGGACCCTTGGAGTAAAGTGCTTTCGCTCAATTTTATGCCTTTTTTCTCGTGTTCAGGTTGCTGCGTAGTTCTAGTTTGCGGGTTACCAGTATAGCTTAGGAACCGAATAAAGCGTTCAAATTAGCAAGATTTATCAGATTGTAGTTGCCGAAAAAAGAACAGATTTTTGTATAAAATTTATAAACTTACTTCTCATTTTCGATTCTGTAATTTCATGTATCATTGGACATTTTCGATATTTGCCATTTTCAATTAATGGTGAAAACTGGACATCATTTGTTTTAAGATTCTATTTCAGTTTTCATGAATAAAAGAGTAAGAAATCTGCTTAGAAAGGTAAAAGTTATGACTAACTGGTTATTCAAGCTACTTTGTTTAAAAAAAATAACGAATAAAAAGTTTAATGACCCGTGGGAATATGTTTAACTAATCTGAAATTTATGCTCATATTCTTTTTGAGCTCTAAAACTACAACGGAACTGGATATAATTCACGTTCTTGATAAGGATATCACGAAACTTCCTTCCAACCATCTTTACATTTGGTGTTTTTCAATTCATGGGGGTACTTGGGAAGTCAAACTAAATATTTATCAGTGCTAAAAACCAAAATGACCGATAATTATTACAGAAGACTATAGGAAGTGGGAAACTCACCTACCTATCAACTAATGACTTCGTCAACTGATATTAAGCTATAATGTAGTTTAAAAATATTCGAACTTTCGGGTCATAATTTGAATTTGTTAAGTCACTTCGAAGTAAAATAACAGGAGCGGCTAAGTTATTTTCATTTTTTTTTCGAAGTTATCTATATCAATTCTAATGATTTCACATCAGTTGAAGATGCGATAGCACTTTTAAGACTCTGGGTGTAGTTTATTCCAGCAACTAGTTTATTTGTTATCCGATTAACCGATTTAATTTTACGTTCTTTGCGTAAATATGAATAGCATATACCTGGTAAATAGTTTGGGGAAGATAAAATTAAATGAGGACTACAAACAAGTATAGATCATACTAGCTAAATTGAGGGTACTTAATACCGTTGAAAGTAACTGATCTCTGTGTTATCTCACTGATATACACATATAGGTAGTTGGAAACTTACGAATCGGCAAAGAGATTTATTTATTTGAACACATGAATATTGGTACAAGAGAGCGCCAATATATATGCGCCACACAAAACAATGAGAATTTGAAGAGAAGTAGAAAAAAAAACTAAGGAGCGCAAAAGAAAAAGAGAACAGTGACGAAGAGATTGGAGTAAGGTAGTGTGGTAGTAACGACGGAACGAAAAGGTACAATCAGAAGAAATCTTTCAGGTAAAGGAGACACAACAACTTTTTATGAAGAAAGTAAAAGAAGGTTACAGCAGGATCGCCCCCTGAATGCCCTGGTACGGCCGAGAGTGGGGATAGTCCGCTCTCCTTCTCAAAATGCTCTCACACGGCTACGCGTATACAGCCTCTGCCAGGGAAGTCCTACTCATTGCCTTCTCGTGGCGGGGGTGTTGTTTACGAAAATGAGAGGACGAAAGACGAATGTCCGGCGCTTTAACCGTTCGGCAAAGAGAAGATGAACCCAGTCATAAATCGCTAGAAAAACAAGGTTCCCGTCAGGTAGTAATTCGGGATTCTAGTCCCTATTGAGCCTGATATTATTAAATTTAAGTGGATGAAACTATCTAGTGAGATATTTTAATAGGAAATTGATTAATAAGCTAATAAAAATAGGATATTAATGATTGTTTGGTATCTTCCAAGCTAAACTGTAACAGTAGTCACAAAATGGAGTTCTGTTGAGAGTTTACCATACAATTTGGTTTATGTATCACACATTCTTGTGTGAACTAGTTCAACATCTACGAAGCGATTTGTACACCACAGTTCTTACTTGTAATGTTAAATAGTATGTGGATCTTAAAGGGCGTTGAGAATTAAAAACATTTCTCCAACCAAATTATCCATTTAAAAAATAATAAAGAATATTTCTGTTATCAGTTGACACAACAAAATATTACTTTGTTCACCAGTAAAATCAACTTACTTCATTAGCAAAACTTGAGGGTCTAATTTCAGACACTAGCTTCACTCTTGTAACATTATTATTACTCCTGTTTTCAAGATTATGACATGTGTTACTGTTGGTATGTTTATTGGCAAACGTAGGACGACTGGTAATGTTAATGGTTTTATTAATATTTGTAGTGCTATTAATATTATTGCTAACTGCTTCATCTTGGGACACCATAGACTTTTTATCGGGATAACAAAATGTATGGCGCTTTTTTACTCGTTTCACGGCGTTTCTCGATGATAATTCGTCGGATTTTTCCATAAATCTCTTCTGAATAAGTGAGATAAAAAGTAAAACAGGTACAAAGAGAATCATGTATGAATTCAATAAATTAGTATTTACACGATATGTGAATAAACGGGACCTATTTTTTATACACAATTATGATGATAATGTCACGGTCGCGAAAATATAAAAACTATTGATTACGAAACACAATCAAGTGACCAATTTATAAGAATAATAAAGAAATCCATACCTCATACAGAATTAAATGATTTGTTCAATTCCTAGACAGCCTTGAAATAAACAGTGATATCATTTTTCGTTATTTCCGCCACTAGGCCGAATTTAATAAAATTAACTTATTCTCATATCGGTTAAAAGTAATTCACAGATTTTAGAACACAGAATTCTAAAGCTGAAGTACAGTAAAAAAAGTTAACATTTGTCATGGAAAATAGTTCTCAAATACAAAAACACGGAACATGTTTGTTTTGCTTCTCTCCTTATATAAATGACTAATGAAGCTACGAGTGAAAATGTATAGCTACGCTTGATTATCTGTTTCCGAAAGTGATGATTTAGGAATAGAAGCATGGTCAGCATATAAGGACGTAGCGGGTAAATACATGAAGTCTCATACAAACTAAATGCATTCCCAAGAACTCTCATAATTAAGCCATTGAATAGTTTAGTTGACCTTTTATTTTTGTATATAAATGTTCTTAACAAGAATATGTGTGATCAGATTCTTCGAAATGTATTGCGCTAATATATCATATAGTTCTGATAATCTTCGTCTTCTTATAACACTATCAAAATTTATCAAAGCGACTAATTACTTTAACTTGCAAAGTATCCCAATATACAAGAACATCATATGCACAAACAACTTTAAAACTT